GGGGGCGGGTGCAGGGCATGTGTGTGTCTGGTGGGAGTGTGAGTGCTTAACACGAGAGAGAGAGATATCGCTGTCTGTCGATCTGGCTGCGGGCTGGGCGGGATGTACGCTTGTCTGTCTGTCTGTCTATCTACCTATCTATCTATCTGTCAGTCGGTTTGTCTGAGTGAGGGACGGGGTGAGTGGGTCGTGTACGCCTGTGTGTCTGCCTGTCTAAGTGAGGGACGGGGGGAGGCTGTCGTGTACGCCTGTCTGTCTGTGCGTCTGAGTGAGGGAGGGGTTGGGGGGTTGACAGATGGATGGTGTGTCTGTGTTCATGGATGTGCTGGGTCTCACACGATGAAGTGAAAGGGATAGGATTTGGGGGATGTGACTGCTTAAAACGAGGAGGGGCGGGCGGGCGAGCGGGTGCAGTGCAGTGCAGTGCATGTCATTGATTAACACGCGTATGGCAGGGAGTGAGGCCGGCCATGCGTGTTGGGTGTGATTGACAAAGAAAGGCTCTGTCTTCTAAGGTGAAAGGGGGAGGGGTACGGTACAGGGGTGGGTGGAGTCTTTTTCATCGTCCTCCCATACGCCTGTCTGTCTGTATGTATGTATGTTCGTTTGAGTGAGGGAATGGGGAGTGAAAGGGATAGGATTTGGAGGGGTGTAACTGCATTACACCCGGTTTTCGAACCGTCGATGGCTGGCTCTGGACCAGCCTCTGGTGAGACAGTCTCAGCCGTATGTTTGGGCGAGTGGTCTGGTGGTGTGTGTGGGTTGCTTGTCTCTCCTTTCTGCTTTCTCACATCGGTGTCTACGTTTTATATTTCGATGTCTTTTGCTGACATCGGCACACGTGAACAGGTCATGAACCAATCGCACATGGTGAGACACTTCACTCAGATCGATCTAAAGGCAGGCACACCGTGTAATTTGGGGACGACTGCAGCTGTGTCATCCAAAACCCAGTCGATTCGTCGCCTTGCGACTCTCACTAGCACGCGCACGATGGACGCACAACCGCTGCCTGCATCCATAAACCGACACGCCTCTACACCCCAGTCACTCACTGCTCTAGTCTACACGTGCGTGCTGCGGCCTGGCCTTGCCAAGCGCAGTCTCCACAGCACACCAGACACATTCCACCACAAAACACATCTGGCCCGTTCAAGCATGCGACACTCATCCATCCATCCATCCATCCATCCCCCTCACATGGCCTTGCTCCGCGCCGCCCTCTTCTGCTGTGCCCTGTTCACTTCCCTCACGTGTGTCTGATCGTAGTGCTCGAATTCGAGGTCGAACAGCACCTTCAGAAAGCCAGAGAAGTTGCCTGCCAGCACGTGGTGGTCCACCTTGCGAGTGAACTCGGCCACAGTGAGCTCGTCCTTCCAGCCGGACAGCGCCTTGAAGACCGACTCGTAAGTCTCAGGCTGCAGAGGCTCCGTCAGTAAATTGCCGTACTGCCGGTTGGGCACCTCAGACGTGAACCAACGAGCTGGCATCGTCGGAAGCTGACACCGATCAACAGCAGCCGGTAGGCATCTTGGTGTGGACGAATGATTGCTCGTGTGAGTCTGCCTCGCGTACCCTTTCTTTGAACTGTTTGAATGTGATTGACCTCTGGCCTTGGAAGAGCTGCTTCTGCCGCTCCTCGAATGACACATGGGGTCCAGGGCCATCCTCTCCCCGGCATGTCCTCAGCCGTGAAAACACCTTGATGATCTCCCATGCTGTCAACTGAGTCGGGGGCACATATGCCACACCTCGCCTCGCAGATGAACCACCGAATGGCACTCGCCGCACGCGGCTGGACAGATGCGCAGATGGGATGGGAGGGTCCGCAGGTAGGGATGTGAGGGGGGATAGGGGATGGATTGGCGTGCGTGGGGACCGTTCGTGACTGCAGACGAGTCCCATCAACCACATGAGCAGGATGCTCGGCAAAAAGGCACAAGCAAGGCGCGACGATGAATCCCTCTGAGATAACGACAAACTGGATGACGTTGCCGTCTTGCTGAGTGGCTGGATCTGCCGTCGTGGGAGCTTGCTGGGCGAGTCCGATGACGCTTGTCGCCGTGGTGGTGGCGCATCTTCATCGCCCATCTTCGCGAGGGTGACAGGGAAAGATCTTCGAAGATGCTGATCACCGATGTGATAAGGACGACTGTGCGAGGAGGAGACCCGATCAGCGTCTGCGTGCTTTGACGTCTGAGCTCGCATGGTGACTTTCGCCTTTTGCATTCAGGGGTTTCGGTATGCGGGGCGGATGTAAGCGTAATGCATGTGTCCATTGCCGGAACTTTCTGCACTGACAATGGTGATTGGTGGCGACAAGTTGTGGACTGTGCAGATGCTACTCGTGCAGATGCTGGTCATCTCTTGCTCGTGGACACCCTTTCTCCATCCATCTTATGGAGTGGCACCCCCTACCTACCACCGGCGGCAGCGTCGAGAGTCCAATCCCCTTCCGTCACTGCGTAATTACCGACTTGAGGCGGGCTCTTCTGAGGGTGCTTTGGATGAAAAGGAGCCATCTCTGCGGTCACTCTCACGGCAAACCGATGGAAATCAGTGGCTTGTGACTGTCAAGATCTCAACTTCAGACGCTAATCGTTCGCCGAAGCGGCTTTTGAGGCAGAGTGTCGAGGGGGCTATCATTGCTGCTGGCTTTGCAGTGGTAGACTATATTCCGCGGCACCACTATCATGTGGCGAGAAACAGCACGCTGCAGCCGGACAATGAAGAAGCATGGCGAGTTCTGAAGGGATTGCCGTACGTTTCTGATGTCATTCCTCTGCCTTTGAGTGCAAAGGTGGACAAACTCCTCTACTCGAGGTGTCAAACAGCCTCCTCGCCTCTCAATCTCACAGTCTTGCTTCTTCAAGACGTCCAATCGCGGAGCTCAATATCTGAATGGCCGGCGCGAATTGGGCGCTCCGATCCTACGAGGGCGTATCAATCGCTGCAAGTACAATGGGAGGACGAAACGAGGATGCAAGTACTCCTTGTAGACATCCATCCCGAAGCTTGCTGGAGGACGGTCGAGTGGGTCGCTCGCCAGCCTCTTGTAGTAGCGATCGAGGTGCAGAGGAGCTTCAGGGTAGAAAGCCAGATAGCCACACAAGTGATGCAGAGCGATTTTTTTTATGGCAACTGCTGCGGCGCACGGGCTCACCGAGGAGTCAGCGAGCAGCTTCTGGCCTCTGTGGTCGCAGGGGCTGTTCGGGGAAGGGGAGCTCATCGGTGTTGGAGACAGTGGAGTGGCAGGAGACAGCTGCTGGTACAGTGGTACGTCCAACGAGGTGCCGTTCAACTCGCTCAACTACTTGCACCGCAAGATTGTGTCTTACCAATCCCTCAGTGGCGACTTCCGAGACGATCCCGTGAGCACGACGGTGCGATGGCCCGGTTTGTCAGCTTATGCTGTCCCTGCCTGTGCCAGTAGGTCAATGGCCATGGTACCCATGTGGGGGCGTGTCTCGCAGGATCGAGGCAGCAACCAAAGCAAGAAATCAACGGCCCGCCTGTACTGACGTTTCATGGTGAAAATGTGACCCTGGGCTCGGGGCTGGCGCCACTAGCGAAGCTGGCCTTCATCGACCTGCAGTCTGGCGGCAGATTCAGCGTCCCCGCTAACATTAAGAACAGGTATGCCCTCCGGATCTGCTCAAGAAGGACTGGACTCGATATTTTCATTGTTGCAGCTATTTCGATAACTTCCGTGCACTGGGCGCCTCTATTGCGTCGAGCTCCTGGGGCAGCCAGGACCATGAGGGGCTCACGACATTTGACGTCGATGTGAGCGCGCACGTCAGTCGGTGGGGTTGAGACATTGTGTGTGATTTCTTCTTGGTTTCCAGGTGGATGCCTACTTGCGCAGCCATGAGGGCTTCCTAGCTGTTTTTCCGTCTGGAAATGCGCCCAAGCAGGGCGGCCGGAATGTCGACTCGCCAGCACATGCCAAAAACGTGCTCTCGGTCGGCGCGACCTTTTCGAACAAGTGAGCAAATCCATTCATCAACGGATGCAGACATGGACGGCGTCCTTTTCGCTTCTTTAGGAATGCATACCCCATGCGTCTGCCATGGCAGCTTCTCGTCATTCGCCCCTCATTCAATGTCTCCCCTGGCTGCCGCTACAGCACATCCAACGATATCGTGGTACAAGGGTGCGACCCGGTGTCGTCTGTTGCCACTTCTCCAACAGCATCAGGAGTCCATGTTGAGGAGCTACTGCGGTCCGCGGTACTGCCGTCTCTTCCAGCAGAAATGAGTGCATCGCCTGCCGTGTTCGGCCCCGTCTGGGAATCATCTGACTATGCCATTGGCCTCATCGATAACAAAGAGCTCATGCTGGCACCAGGCGACCCCCCTGATGGCTGTGATCCCGATTTGCTGGCGAGCTATCTGGTGGAAGTCGGGCTGCTTTCTCTGCAAGGCTTCGTGGTGCTGGTTGCGCGAGGCAGGTGCAGCTTCCTAACCAAAGCTCTGAATGTCCAGAATGTCAGCGGCGACGGTGTACTGGTGTACAATACGGCTGATGGCCAGCACGCATGGGATGTGATTATGGGAGTGCCGCCGGACCAGGCAGCGATGGCGACAGCCGTCAAGTAAGACCGACAGACAATAAAAGATGTGTTGTTCACTTAGTATCTCTGACGTGTGACTTGTAGGATCCCGGCCTTGCTGATAAGTGCAGAGGATGGACGAGCCTTCAAAAGCCTTCTGAAAGAATCAGCTGGTCGGAATTACACTATGATGTATTCATCCGAGAGCGGACCAGCAACTGTCACGGTCGAGACATCACTGGAGGTCACAGTGTCACTCCCTCATCTCTCTGACACCAAGCTCTTCCTGACAAGGGCATGGTTCTCTGCATATGGTACGATACTACAAATGAATACGACGCTTGCACCGCTGACCTTTTTTTTTCAGGCCCGACGAGTGACGGCCGCATCAAGCCTGACGTAGTGGCGCCAGGCGATGCCATTCTTAGTGCTGATGCGAGCGCGTCGTGCTCACAGAAGAGCCTGCAAGGCACCTCACAGTCTACACCTTTCGTTGCTGCCGCAACAGCACTGATTAGGGAATTTTTGCGCAAGGGGCTGCTACAAGAGGCGCAGGGAAAGCCGTCCGCCCCGCCAGGCTCCCACCTCCGATCGAGCACACTGAAGGCGATGATTGTCGCTTCGGGCTACTTCGAAGGCCAGAGTTCATCACGGCCCTATGACACCGAGGTCGGCTTCGGAGCCGTACAGCTGGGTCGACTGCTGCCCTTCAAAAACAACGATGCGGCGCCCCTGCAAAGGGAGCTGAGGTGATGAGACATGTACGATGCAAATTCTTCCGAGACGGAACGTCTTCTGCTGTTAAGTGCAGTTTGGAAGTGCTGCAGGGCCTCTTGTATGACGATGGCGATGCCCACCGGTACTGCATCACCATGAACAGCGCACGAATAAGAAGGCTGGAAGAACAGAGAGTGACTCTCCCCTACGCGTTCAAAGTGAGCACGAAAGAATGAAGACAGCCAGACAACCGTCGTTGGGTGAAGGGGCTCTCGCTTTCTAATGGTATGTAGGTGTCGCTCACATGGACGGATGCCCCGTCGGCTCCTGCAGCCGCCGTACCCCTCATCAACGATGTCCACCTCATCATGAAGTGCCAACACAACCAATGGACAACACGATACGTATGCTTTCTTTCAGACAGCAAGTAAGGGTACTTCACGTGAGTGGCCTCCTGGTTCGCCCTGCGCAGGGCAATGGTGGAGCTTCAGCCGACACACTTAACAATGTTGAGGTCATCATTGTCGACTCTCCGCGCGTCAATGCAGCGACGGATTACAGAGACACCTACAGCACCATGCCACCGGCTGACGCTCTGTCCAACAAGTCGACAGCCCCCACTCCTCAAACCCCCATGGCCCCGCCAGCTGTGCCGCGATCCCTTCCCAGTGACGAGAGTATCTGTGTAGTGTGGGTTGTGGCCGACAGCCTCCCAAGGGCCCCGCAGCCCTACTCCCTTGTCGTCAGCGGCCTGTTCGAGCGGCTGGACCCACACTGCACCATCTCAGGGTCGGCTGAGCCGCCAGATGGCGTCACAGCTGAAGGTGAGTTGTGTCGCGGGAGAGGCGTGTGGCAGGGGTCGGGGTGCCGATGCAGCGAGCCGTGGATTGGATCATTCTGCGATCAAGCGAGTGCGAGACGGTCTACTCTTGTGTCAGTCAGCCATTTGCCTGTTGGTCTGTGCTTTATGTCTCAGGTTGCATACGAGCTCACACCTGATGCAGAGGGAAGACATATATTTCACACAGCAGAGGTGTAGAGGAAACACCGAGCTTGTTGGTCGTCCACGTCTCTGTTCATCTTGTCAGGTTGCGACAGTCATGGCCAGTGCTGCCGTCTGGCTCGCCGATGTGCATACGCAGTCCGTGACAGCGACCGACCCCGCCCAGCCCGATCCATTTTTCCAGCCCGGATCAGACGAGGCCGCAGATCGAGAGCTGTTCTTCACCACCCAGCCACTCAACCCAATGCAGTGGCATTTCTTCCGTCTCCCGATCTGTGCCTTCCCCGACAACATTCATGGCCGCCGACAGCGCGTCAATGACACCAATGGATACGTCATCTCTCACGTGGTGACGGTCCGCGCGCCAGTGTTGAGGCCCCCTCCGCTGCTGCCTGTCAATCCTCCACAGCCCGAGACGGCCGCGTACGAGATGCCGCTTGCACCTGAAATGGTGGCTGGTGTCGATCCAACCCTGCTGCAGCGACCCGACTGGGCAGCTGCTGGTTGGACGGACGGTTTGTCGATGTCAGGGGTGGTGTTGCATGATGTCCGACTGACGGCTCCTCGACTGATCGTGGGTGAGGCTGTGGGCTCGTATCGCTACAGCCAGTCGCTCGAGACACAGTATTGGCAGCGACAACTCACAGCGGATGTGTTCCTTCCCGATGGTCTTCTGAGTGTGGAGGTAAGCTAGAACGTCGACTGATTTGTGCGTGCTTACTTCTTCCCCTCTGTGCTGATTGATGCATTTCTTCCAGCACGATGGCTTGCTAGAACGATCGCAGGGTGAAGTGTACGTCGGTGTCTGGTCCAAAGTGTGGGAACAGAGTATTGCATATGAGCTACAGGTTAGCGAACAGACTACAAGAGACGACCTTGTGCACCATGCATGACGTGTCTCGTCTGCCTCAGTTGACATTCCACGGGGACAAGTCGACATCATGTATTCCTCCAGACACGTCGGGTAGGTCCGGCCACATGCTGCAAACGTCAGGTGTACCGTTGAATCAACGTCGCACCCTTGTGCTGCGCATGTGCCCGTCGTAGCTGGCACTTCCTAGCTCTTCTTTGTCTACTAGTAGCGTGGCCCTTTGTGTGCGGTTGATCCGCCCATCTGTCGTAGCTGTGCCATTAGAGTAGTGACGTTCGCAGCTCGAGCGCTGCTGCCTCGATGGGAGCTCTGTACTACGAGTACGTGCATGCATGAGTTGTCACCATTCATGTACTGCCCTGCCTCTTCGTATCGCTCCATTGCAGTGCAAACATCATTGGACGGCTATGTTGATGAATTCTTCCGTCTCCACGTGGCCATGCATAAACGACGCTTGCGTGTCGGAGAGCGACGATCGCTTTGCGAGCTAATCTTCAGCAGCGCTGCGGGCAACAATCCCCTCCATGTTCCTCTCCGCCCGTCCTTTGACGTGCTTGTGCGCCATGACCGTGATAACGGTCCTCCGCTTCCAAGAATCTCTGTCAGCGGCCTTTCTCAGAACGTCATCCATGCGCGTCATCGCCGCGGCACGCGCCAGCAGCAAGATGCTGCGGAGGAACCACTACACACCCGCATCTGCCACGATATTCCCTCGCGTGCTGGGTGGGAGGCGGGGCATGGCGACGATGGCGGCGCTGGCACCGACGCTTCAGAGTGCGACGGAAGTGTCGCTGACTGATATGGGGTGGATGGACAAGCTGAAGGTGGAGTTTGCATCGACCTCCCCACTCGAATGGACGGTGAGCACACTCAGATCTGGCTTCTGCCTGCATGCGCTCTGTGGTGACTCATTGTATATTGTGTGTGTGTCAGGGTGACGCGTTGGTGGTGTCGTTTTTCCAGCCAGAGGAAAGTGACAAGGACAAGGACGAGAAGAAGGACCCCGATGCGCCGCCCACATCGCCGATCAAGCTGGAGGGGCCTCTGGCAGAACTCGACAGCAAGCTTGATGGTCGGTGAGGCAAGACGAGACCCCGACGCGCAAGAGATGCATCGCTTCGGTGTATTGCATGATGCTGCCCAGGCGCCCTCCGCGAGATCCTTGATGTGAATGAGTTCAAGGGTGCGTCTGGCAGCACGGCGACCGTCCGTCTGTCTTCATCATCGCCTGTGCGCCGGTTGAGCATCGTGGGCCTGGGAAAGGCGTCAGCTCTGAAGACAGACCTGGGTGCCGTGTGCGACAAGGTGGGCAGCGCCTTGGCTGGAGTGGCCAAGAGCGACAAACCCAAGTCGATGGGCGTTGTGCTACCGGAAGACGTCGACGCTGATGGCATGCGAACCTGCATCGAGGTGCGGAACGAACTTGGCTGCGCTCCCATTCATGTTGGATTTACCATTGTGTGCAGGGTTTTCTGGTCAATTTGATGGCTGACAACCGCTTTCGGACAGGCGACAGGATCACCAAGCCTCCCCCACTGCAGAGCGTCACGATGCTGCAGGGACCCGCACCCCTGTCCGATGCCAATGTGGCTAACAGCAAGGCTGCAGCCGCGGGCATCATCTTTGCGAAGGACTTGGTGGCCGCGCCGCCAAATGTCCTTCACCCTATGACCCTCGCAAAGGCAGCAGGTAGCGACACCAAGGCACATTAGAGTCATGCTGATTGCGACTGTTGATGTGTGTCAGAGGAGATGGCCAAGGAGACTGGTTTGGAGGCGACCATTCTCGATGAGGACGCCATCGTGGCCAAGAAGATGGGGGCGTATCTGGGTGTGGCGCAAGGGGCGGTCCACCCGCCCCGGTTCATCCACCTGACCTACAAGCCGGAGGGAGAGGTCAAGAGGAAGGTGGCCATCGTCGGCAAGGGACTCACCTTCGACTCAGGAGGATACAATCTCAAGGTGAACACGCACACACGCAGCGCGCCCACCGTGACACACCAGCACGTGATGATTTTCTTCTTTTGGTTGTCTGCCAGATTGGCGGTAGCATGATAGAGCTGATGAAGTTCGACATGGGTGGCTCAGCGGCGACTTTGGGTGCGGCCAAGACGATCGCCATGACCAAGCCAGAGGGAGTGGAGGTGCACTTCATCGTTGCCGCGTGTGAGAACATGGTGTCAGAGAAGGCCATGCGACCGGGAGACATTCTCACCGCCATGAACGGCAAAACCATCGAGGTAAGTGGATGGGCGCCTGCACACCAGCTGATTTGCCCATTCATGCCCCCTTTGAGCTGTCTGTGTATGTTGTGTATGCTTTGGTGTGTAGGTGATCAACACCGATGCAGAGGGTCGGTTGACGCTTGCAGATGCGCTGCTGTATGCCGAGGGTCTTGGGGTGGATGCCATTGTGGACCTCGCCACACTGACGGGGGCGTGCATGGTCGGACTAGGTGAACGACAGACACACGGGAAGCGAAGGAGTGACAAACAGACAGACAGACAGACACTAGTACACATGACACATGTGGCGTGATTTGTGCATTCTCTTGGCAGGCAAAAAGTACGCGGGTCTGTTCACGCCCAACGATGACCTGGCGGACCAGCTGATGGAATGGTGCGCAATGCCATCCACGTCACACCACGTGCACAATGCTGTGTGTCCACATGTCTGCACGTTCACTAGTGAGTTTATTGCAGCGCCAAGGTGACAGGCGAGAAGTTGTGGCGCCTGCCTTTGGCTGCCGAGTACGCCGAGGAGCTTAAATCGAAGATCGCCGACTACAAGAATGTGGGGGGCCGATTCGGCGGCTCCATCACAGCCGCACTCTTCCTCAAGGAATTCATCGACAAGGCAAGCCACATGCATATACACGCAGAGACTCATTGTGTGTATGTATGTGTGTGTGGGTGTGGGTGTGCTGATGTAGGTGCCGTGGGCTCATTTCGACATAGCAGGTCCCGTGTGGGACGACAGTGTGGGTGCGACGGGGTATGGTGTCAAGACACTTGTGGAGTGGGTCAGGAGGGGGGCACCTGTCAAAGCGGAAACAACTAGCTAGCTAGCTTGTGAGACTCTAAGAGGATTCAGCTCGATGGATCGGGTAGAGTGAGTGCTGAGTGTTTTGCATCCATGACAAGCAAGTTTTTGGCTGCTGCGAAAAGCAGCTCTCCGTGCCGTGCCGTGTGTGTGCATATATGGCGGCTGATGGCTGCATGCGACGTGGACCTGACGGACTCGCTGCATTCATGCAGACAGATGTCCGCTGTGTGGCAATGTGAAATGTTAACATGGGAAAAGATATGACGGACTGATTCATCAACAGAGGTCCGTCAGAATGACGTCAAACACCCCTCCATCCATCCATCACATGAGTATGCCCCCCGCCCCCTTGCCCGGCTTGTACTGTGCCACAGCCACAGCGTCAGGTATATCATCCCGATACTCGAATGGGATATCCACAAACTCGACGTCATAATCAGATGTGTCCTCGAGGAAGCTCAACAGCTCACTCGCACCGCCAGGCGGATATCTCACATTGTCGAACACCAGAGTGCCTCCCGATGCGGTAAGACGGAGCCTCTCCAGCGTCTGCAGGTCCTTCAGATACTCCCCCTTCCAATGGTCCATGAAAATGAACTCGAAAGGGCCTTTGAGGCTGGGCAAGACGTCCCCTGACGCACCAACTCGCAGGTCTATCCGGTCAGCAACGCCCGCATGCGCCAAAATGCTCCTGGCCACGGCGGCGGTTTCGGGGTCGATCTCTATTGTCGTGAGACGACTTGACTGCGGTAGGGCCCGCAGCATGTGGAGAGCTGAGTAGCCACAGAAGGTGCCCACCTCCAACACGCACGACGGCTGCCTCTCCTTCAAGAGCCTCTCCAACAACTCTGACCAACGGAAACACCACTCAATGAAGCCAACGCGCTGTCTGCCTGATTGCACGCCTGCCCGCCTGGCTCACCTCCTTTTGTGGCGCCGACGTTCATCATCCATGACTTGCGGGAGAATGTGTCGATGGCCTCGATGATCCCACCGATGTCACCCTTACACCAACCACACCACACCAGTCAGACTATTGTGGCTGCATCCATCCCCTTCTGCCCGCTTACCCCGCCCACCTGTTGAGTGTTCTTGATGACGGCCTCGCCCATCTGTGCAGGCGTCGCAAACTGCCACTGAGCTCCCGCAGAAGGGCTGAGTAGGAGGGACGATGCGACACCCAAGGCGCCACGCGCTGACTCTGTGAGCAGAGATCTCCGTCCCACTGCGCGCCGCTCTCCTCTCATATGCGCTAGAGATCTCTTTCTTCGTCGCTCTACTCGCCCAAATGCCCGCCTTGGGCGACGGAACGGTGCCATCTCATTCGTCGTCGCTGGCGTCGCTGGCGATGCGGAAGGGCAGCACGGCGAGAAGAGGAAGGAAGCGCAGGTGATTGAAGCTCTCATAGCCACTGCAATAAACAGCCGTAGCCAATCAGCGCGGTGCCTCTTCATCTCCTGCTCATCCGAGTGCCATCAAAACCTTAGCCGATCAACGATAGATAGCTTCTTTGCATGCAATGAATAACGAATCCTCACGCGCGAGCGTTGAATGAAAGAAAGGGGGATCCTCACACGTCACCTTCCTAAGCTCGCTCAAACCCTCAACCGACCGACCGACCGGGAGGAAGGAGGAGGAAGAATGCAGCATGGGAGCATGACCACAAGATCCGGGATCTACCGGAAAAAGTGCTTTTCTGCGTCACTTCGCCCGAGCACGAATGCCTGCAGCAGCTTCGCAGCAGTCGCCGCGTCGCGCTGCCACTTACCACACCCACTGCAGCCTCATCTCTCTTCGCCACGAGCTCCGGCTCCCTCACGACGAGCCTCTCTGATTCATTGCCGGTGCTATTCATCCCTTGGCGGCTCCTCTGCAATGCCGCACGCACCAGCAGACGTGAGGAACCGTGGTTATCTGGAGGCCAAGGAGGCGCCCGCTACGACGGGTCAGTTCCTGTGGACGGGGACGCGAGATGACCATGTGATCACTGTGGATGTGCACGGGACGCGGGTGCACCTGTACGGTCTCATGCACCAACGGATGGAGGGAGCGGCAAGCGCACAGGTCGGCATGGCGTGGACACTGACTGAGATGAGGACATCCGGAAAGTAACCTGTTTTTGTGCATGTTGTGTGTCTGCAGGATGCGGCCGAGGTGAAAGAGGATCCACCAGGCAGGAAAGTCGCGACCGACCACAAGCTTGTCTGTCTGTCTGTCTGGTTGCTTGTCAGTATCTGCGTCAAGTGAAGCCACAGCAGGTCTTCCTCGAGGTGGGTACGGCGAAAGGGGCAACCAATCAGCAGCATTGACGAGGTCGGATTGTGTCTGCAGCTGTGCAAGTACCGCTATGTGGAGATCATCAACGCCATCCTGCAAAATGTATACATACACACACACATGCATGCAGGACACAACCACAACACAACACACGCACACTGAAATCTATCTGTGTGCATGTGCTTGATCGGGTGTCTGTCTGTCTGTCTGTCTGTCTGTCTGCAGAAGGAGCTGCCTGTCCCCCATCGAGTGAGCCGCTGTCGACCCACCCATTGCACCAACACACACATCCCTGCCTGTCTTCAGCTGCGAGTATTCCGCGCCATCCACGGCGGTACGATGGTTCGGGAGTTCCATGCGAGTGTCATTGCTGCAAAGGAAATCGGTGCGTCCCTCTTTCTGGTCGACCGAACGCAGCAGGTGACGACAGCACCCACAGTGTAGTGAGCGGCTGCATACTTGTGTAAGGCAGGTTTGTTGTGTGTTGGTCATAATATGCCACTGTCTGTGTGCTGACAGGCGGTGAAGAATCGTTGTCTGTTTACGATGTGGGACAACGAGAGTGGGCGTAGCTTCATGAACTACATGCCGCTGTCGCTGGTCAACCGGCGGGTCATCACCTACCAGGAGCTGCACGACCTCGTCAGCACTCTCACCCCAAGAATCATACACGTACTGTACGTCAACACAGACAGCCCCCGCCCCCTGCGCAGCGCCCCACAATTGCTTCAATGTGTCATTCACTCATTGCTTGATTTATCTTTCTTCAGGCTCTGTTCCAGGAGCGCAATCTGTACATGGCCCATCAGATACTCACACAAATCGACGTGAGTCAGTGAGCGAGACATACATATACACACACATCCAAATCTGATATGACTGGTGCTATACATGTATGTGTGCAGAAGGAGGCTCGTGATGTGGTGGTGGTGTGTGGGTTGATGCAGCTGCGTGGCCTGGCGTGGCTCCTCAAGCACAACCACACACTCGACAGCCGCGGCCTGGCCATCCTGGCGGCATCACCACCGCCACAGGGACCCGCCTTCCTCTTCTTCAGATTCTTCCTCCCTTATCTCGGGGTAGGGGAGGGAGGGGCCATATATACATCATAAGCTGGGCAACTTCGCCGCATTCATTGCTGTGTGTCTGTATGTGCAAACGTTTGGTGGCTTCTTTGCTGCAGGTGGGTGTGTTGCTGGTGGGTGTGTCGTGGGTGCTCACGAATCGGTTGGTGGGGCCGAATGCAGGCAGACTCACAGACATCAGAAGGGCCAGAAGTGAGCGACCACAACAAAAGACCATGGTGCGCATTGATGGTCATTCAACCTGCGTGTGCTTTTCTCTCCATTCGTGGTGAATGCAGATGCCTAGCGGACAGAGGGATGTAGAGTGAGGGGATGCAATCTAGAGGGGGAGAGGGGGGAGGAGAGAGGGGCCCAGGAGAGGGGGAGATGGGCGAACGAGTGCACGGACGACTGCATGCATGAATGGACCAGTTATAGTCAGTATAATAGGTCACTCACGCTCGTACCATGCAACTCATGAGTCCCGTCCATGTACGAGTCTTGTCTGCACCACACACACACACACACAAAGCCATCACATTCACTAATCACACCACACTCACAAAGACACACACACAGTGACATGTATTCGGCCCTGTCTGGCTGAATTACCGTACCGTACAACGCACGTGTCAGTAAGTATTCCTTCCTTCGTACGCACCCACCGCACCCCGCATGAGCGAGCCAAAACTCTAAAGCGAGAAGCCCTTCTCGCCATCTCTGTACACAAACAAAAACGCGCACCTTGACTGACACCAAAGGACAATACTGCGATCGATCGATTCGATGGTGGCGTGGCTGGCATGAATCGATGGGGGGATGGATGGACGTAGGTAGGAAGAAAATGGCAATGGCTCGAAGCTCCATCGACCGACTGACGGGTCTCCGGGTTCCTCTGGATCAACCAACAGAGCCCGTGTGTCGGTCAACTCAATGACACGTATGACACCGCCCCTGCAGGCCATGTATGTGCGCCATGTCGCCACGCCTTACTTACAGCCCCACGCCACACCACACCACACCACAGCTGCTCTCTGTCCGTCCGTCCTATCCTCTCTGTGCCCGCCCTTAGTTAATCAAACGTCACACATGGAAGGAGGATGGGATGGAAGCACTCAATAGTGCTCGGGCGGCTGGGCTGGCTGACGAAAAAGTGCACCACACTCAGTGATCCATCCGTCAGTCAGACGACAGGCATACTAGAGGGGTCCGGAAGGGTGACGAGCTTGCGCACCACGACCATGGGTGGCCCACCCAGCACGCGCACCTTCTCCACCACCCGCTCCATGGGTTCGTCGGCCAGCATCTGACGGCGCACATCCGTCTTGACCAGCTCCTCATCCTCATCTCCTTGCTCTGACGATGACGGTTGGCTGGCCCCTCCACCCGGCTGGCTGGCGTCGCTGCCGTCCTGCTGCTGCTCCTGCTGGTCCTCCCCTCCTCCCTCATTCTCGAGTGGTGGCGGCTCCCTGAATGTGATGGATTTGGTCATGGGTGTGAAGGTCTGGCCGCCGTCAAACGACTCGAAGTACCGCAGCTCCACCACCTCACCCGCAACGCCCTCAAGCAGCAGAGTCACCTGACCGTCACCACCTACACACACACACACGGAGGGACAAACAGATGTGTCATGTCGAGTGTCCGTGTGTCGATTATGAGTGCGTGTGGCCCACATTCCCCCCCCTACCATATTCCCCGCCCGTCGTACCGTCTGGATTGCGTTGCATGACGCGTATGTCGATGAATCGTTGTGGCGAGACGGGAGTCCACTTGTGCAGCTCACCGCCCAAAGCGATCAGCGGCGTCGACGGCACGCCTGCCTTGAGCTCCCACACGGGAGAGGCGTACAAGAGACGGTAGTTGTTGTGCTTAGGCAGCACCAGAGAGCTCTCAGGCGTCCATAATGACCACTGCACCCACACACACGTCAACACAACACAACACATGTGTGTGGGGGTGTCTGCTGCATTCATTGCATTGCATTGCATTGCGTTGCCTGGTCTGTCTACCTACCTCTTTGTGTTCATGTGGGTTCCATATCAGCCACTGTTGGCTCTGCCGCAGGTCGTCGGCGTCACGCAGAGGGCCCACATCAAACGGCTCGCGAAGACGAAAGCCGGTAAAGATGCGGAACACCAAGTCACCCACCTAATCGCACACACACACACACACACCCGCCGAAGTAATGGTGCTGCCGATGTCTGTCTGTCTGTCTGTCTGTCTGTCTGCCCCACGTCACGTAGGTACCTGTGAGAGTGTCTGGAATGCGTATCGGTTGCGGACGCCCTGGAAGGCCCTCTCGGCGTAGAGAGCGTCGACGTAGCCTAGTGCCCTGGAGGGCTTGAGGATCTTGCCGTCCTTCCTGCAGCACTTGAACAGGCTCTTGAAGTCCACGTCGCTCAGCCGGTCGCCGGGCCCCACCGGACCCATGCTCAAAGTCGACACGAGACCCTGCCAGCCGGGGTACCGCTCTATGGCTCCTTTGTAGCGGTCTGTGGGGGTCATGGAGGTCCAGAAGGTGTCCTTGAAGGGTGCCGCGCCGAGTGCGTGTATGATGGGTGCAGTGAGGCCGATGTCCCACTGCTGCTTGGTGGGGCGGTAGTCGGTGGACCCGCGGATGCTCGTGACGGCGTCGTACTTGACCGACTGCATGATGTGCCGGCTGTAAGGCATGCAGTACTGCACACGAACACCCCACTTCTCGGCGCCCCTGATAGACGGAGGGATGGACACGAACGAAAAGCGAGCCAAGGGTACGGCATGCATGTATCCATCCATCCATCCACCCATTTGCTATAGCTAGCTGTGTTGATTGAGTGGTCAGTCAACTCACTTGGCCATGTCGTCAAGCCACTTCTCTGCCAGTGTGACGTTGGAGGTCATGCTGGGCAGCCCATTGGTGTGAGACCACATCCAGTCCTGCTCGTACATGTACAGACCCCAGCGAGTGCTGCACGCACCGCAGCCGCAACATACATACAACCAACAACCACCACCATGCCATGACACACACATGCAGACAGACAGATAGATAGATGAATCGGGCTGGTGCATCCTTCCCTGCAAGCACTGCGCTGCGTGAGTGTCCCCACCCACCCACCGACCTGTTTCTGAAGAGCGAGTCCCAGAATCGCGCCTCCATTGGCATCGTCATGTGGTTTTGGATAAGGAAATCGTACAGACCGCCGTTCTGCCGCGCGTGCAGATTGTCCTCGGCGAAAAAGCGACTGTGGGCTGGATGGGATGACCAACACCATGACACACAGGGAAGAAACAGAGAGCGTGCATAACATAAATGCCGACCGACAGATGATATGCATCCAATCCACGTGTTCTGTCTGTTCTGCAGCTCACTGACTGACTGACCGAGTATGGGCATCTTGAGCTTGCGATGGATGGGCGCCAGTCCCCTCGGGAAGAGGTCCCTCCGGGGTGCCCACACCTTGACGCCCCTTGTCTGGCCGTACATGGCGCCCTGTGGGTACCACCAGCTGTCGACCTGCATGCTCCGGATGGGCAGCCGCAGGTCCTTGTGGAAGTGTAGCGCAATGCTCTCGAGGGTCTCGGGGTATGTCTGGTTTGGCTCCGTGCGGTAGTAGTAGTAGGCTCCGTTGTCCGTCCAGTAGGACAGGTGCGACACGCTCACGTCGCTGACGGGCGTCTTCTGGTAGAGCGTCTGCAGGATGCGACCCCACTTCCGTGTCGCATGGGCGATGCCGCGAGCGGAGAAGACGGCTATGGAGCGGAACTGGAAGCCCGCGGGGATGCTGTCGGCACTGCCCAGGACGCCCAGGTGATACTCAGTTCTCTCCTTGCTGAGTGCAGCGTTGGCAACGGTGAAGCGGCTGAGAGGGCTGACGACAGAGCTGACCTCCAGCGACCGGTCGAAGAGGATCAGCGGCAGCCCCCCCTGGATGCCCGTGGGGATGTGCCCTTCCTGCGCACCCAGACGAGTGAAATTGCCGTACTTGCCCTCAGAACCAAACTTGCCGTAGAGCGCCGCGAAGCCCAGCAAACGCTCGGCGTCATCATCGGTGGGGAGATCGAACACGGGGAAGCCCGCAGACACGCCGTCCTTCCTCGCTGCCGACCGCCCCACGGCGATATTGTCGAGGCCTTCAGGGAAGTTCTGCTCGAACACCAAGCACGACTCGCCCACTTGGTAGATGGTCGTCTCGAAGGGCACTGCCGCATTGCCGCCCTTACGCTCCACAGCCCACGCGAAGGTGCGCTTCTTGACGCCATGTATGGTCTCCTGCTGCACCTCACGCAGCCGCAGCCGCTGGCTGGCCGCCGTCACGCGCTTGCCTTGCTGGTAGACGAACGCGTGGTTGGTGGACTGTAGCCATGTCGACTGAGTGCCTTCGCTGTCGCTGTCGCTCCTCCTCTCGACCTTGATGGCATAGCTGCCGGGCCTCTCCTCGTCGAAGACCACGCGGACCGCTATGGGGTCCTCTGCGTGGCCGTCACCCTCCAAGGGCGACCCACCTGCATACACACACAGACAGGGAGACGTCGTCGGCTGGTGCGACCGGCCCCTCATGATTTGTTTTGTGTAGGTGTTTCGGCCGACGGCGTACAGTACCTCCACAAAGGGGAATGAGTGGGTCGAGTGGGTCTGAGCCGTCCCGCATGTCCTTTGGCGGCAGGCCCCAGACGCTGGCCCGGCCGCCCCCCTTTTGCATCCACAGCTCCTCACCCTCGATGTGCAGCTCGTCCGAGAAGCCCGGCTTCCACTCGCCAGCGTTGACCTCGATGGGCTCGGGCTCTTCCTCTTCATCCTGCAGAAAGGCGTCACTCTCCGAGAACGCCTCGGGCTCCTCGTTGTCCACCGCATCGAGGTTGTCGGTCGCCGCTGACTCGTCCGCGTTGATGCCCCAGTCGCTGTCCACTTCGGATGACGCCGCGCCTTCCGAAGTGGACGAGGAGGAAGCCTCACTTGCTGTGTCTTGTTTGTCGTCCACCGCCGTAGCAGCAGCAGCTGCTGCGTCAGCATTGGTGTCAACAGATGCCATGAAGGATGACGATGCGGACATCTCATTCAGCTCGACTGCCTTGGGCTGGCTGCTCAGTGCCGGCGGCGCTGGCGCTTCTGCAGGCGGATTGGTGAGACCGAAGCCGAGCCCATCGAGCGGCATGACCGTGTAGTTGAGGAGCAGGAACACCGCTAAGATGAGAAAGGCCACGCCTGCATACTGCAGGACAGGGCCTCTGATGCCCGAGGTGTTGGGCCATGAGGAGGCAGCCCAGTAGGCGTCGTCATTGTCGAGGGGTAGGGGCGTGGAGAGGTTGATGTTGTTCTTTCTCCTCATCATTGCCTTGGACGGTGGGGTGGCCGCCTCGGGCTCCTCATTGTTGCTCCCTTTGGGCACTCGACTGAGCAACCCAGGACTCACTTGACCCGCTATGGTGATCAACGACCCCAGGGGCAGGGCAGGCAGCAATCAGCTGACAATCGACGAAGCGAGCGAGGATAGCTTAACCACCCCCTCTCAGCGGACCTGTGCTTGTTGGTCCAAGGTTGATCTTGGATGAGCAGGATTGCCTGTCTGCAGCAAACAAACAGAGGGTTGCAAGGTGAACGGCTTGACTCATGGAGGGATGGCGGCCTTCTGCACCTGATGTGATGGATCTGGTTGCCGTAACTGAGCGATGAGAGAACAGAGAGGGGTGCACCTTGCCGTCCCTCTCGTGCTTTATCGATTGAGCAACCACAAGGAATCTCAAATGCTGTCCTTCTGTGACTTTTTGCCTTCTTCCCCTGCAAGCTCTTGCGAGCTGTGGATCTGTAACTGCTTCTTCCCTTTCTCTGTGTGCAGTGTGTCACGAAGAGAGCGATACAATGGACAACATGAGACTCAGTGCTGTGTGAAGGGATGGAGTGCACCTT